AAGTAGATTGAAACCCTAGGGGTGTAAGTGTGCATTGTGTTTGTTTTTCATGCATTTTTGTCTTTGATTAGGTCAAACTATTTGTTGGTTTTGATTTTGCATACAAACCCTAATTCTCTAATCATGACATAATTGAAAGCATTAAGTGCGTAAAAATAAATCTAAGCTATTACAACTTTGATATAGGGAGGGGGTACAATTTTGAATAGGGGATTATTTTGCAAGAAATATAAAACCCTAATTACTATTACATCCAAATTGAATCTCAAATGCAATCAATATTTAAATGTACAATATTTAAACAAAATGAACAAATATTAAATAAAAATGTATTATGCAAAAAAAGTTTTTATGTATGCAAAGTATTTTTAAATGTAAAGAAATGCAAAGAAATATGAAAAATAAAAAAGTTAATTAATTTTGATAAAGGGGTAAACCCTAATTTTCTTTAAAAAAAATAAAATTATATTATTTATATACAAAATATATTAATATGTACAAAAATAAAAATATATTATAAAAAAAGAATGTTTTTTAGTATAAAATAACAATAAAAATAAAAAAAATTTGTTCTATGTTTTTTAATAAAATAAAGTATATATATATATATATATATATATATATATATATATATATATATATATATATATATATATATATATATATATATATATATATATATATATATATATATATATATATATATATATATATATATATATATATATATATATATATATATATATATATATATATATATATATATATATATATATATATATATATATATATATATATATATATATATATATATATATATATATATATATATATATATATATATATATATATATATATATATATATATATATATATATATATATATATATATATATATATATATATATATATATATATATATATATATATATATATTAAATATATTAAGTGTGTATAAAAATAAAATAAACTATTTACAAAAATGTATATATTTCAAGAAAATATTTTCAAATGTGAATAAAAATAAGAAATGAAAATAAAAGTATTTTTTTTACATTATTTTCAAGTTTTAATAAATAATATAAAATATTTAAACATTTTAATGTTAGAAATAATTAAAATAAATACCAAATAAATGTAAAAATTTATGAAAATCTTTTTTTAGGCATTTTTTATGTTTGGAAATAAAATAATAAAGTCAGAAATGAAATTAAAATACAAAAATAATAAAAATACAAAGAAATGGGCCAAGGGGTGTGAAACTGAAAATTGGGGGTGCCAAAAGTAGGAAATAGCCAGGCCCAACCCAGCTACTTCATCTTCAACCTTCGTCCAACAGAAACACGCGCGTGCTTAGTTCAAACGCGTATCTCCTGTTTCAGTGCTTTTTTGACAAAACTCAAAATATGAAACTTGTAGAGCATCAAACAACGATTTCAACCATATAAAACATTAAATCTAACTCTCAAAGACCAGAGATAATTTCTCTGGCCCTAAAATTTAACCTAACTTTTTCAACATGTTCATGGATGAAATTCTCCTAGCACGATTAATATAAATGAAAACCGAGCACATGTATGGTTTCAGGGCAATGAGTACAACATATTTTATTCACAAACCTAAGGCTAAATGTTCCTAAATAGAGAGATAAAAGTTCATGAAAAACTTGTTTCAGTTGGACACGAGTATGGAAATGCAGCAACTTTCAGTGAGGCCTGAGGTTCTTTTGAGCTTGCTTGATGTTCCCTGAACCTTTCCCAATGCTAAGTTTGTTTTGAAATGGCTTGAATCAACCTCTAGAAGTCAACCTGAATAAGCTTGAAACAGAAATGGTGATCATTTTAAATGGAGTTACAGTTGGCAATGGAGGTTTGGGACAGCTTGAGTGAGTTGAATGGAAGGTGTTTGAAGTGGAAAGGAGCAAAACGCACGAGCAAAATGAGCTATGGCACTCAAGTTGCAGCAACTGCCCTATTTTACAAGTTTTTGATGTTTTGGTATTCAAGGGTGTTTGAGGGATGATTGTCTCATGTTTCTGACCTTAGGCAATGTGTAAAACTTGTTTGAAACCTTGGATTTTGTTGATTTTATCAGATGTGTGTGTTGTGGACTTTTGGCACAAATGACTTGTTTTGAAAGAAAAGTGTGAAGTGACCATGCTAAGGCCTGTACAGGCTAGCTCCAAGCATGCTCATAGTTGGTGTACTTTGCCTAAGATTATGGAACTTGTTTGCTGCAAGAAAAGAAGTTCAAGGCTCAAGAAAATGCAATTTGATATAAAGTTGCCTTTATGAAAATGGAAGTGCCATCTTTATGCCTAAAATGGAATTATTCAATGTGCCAAGCTCCCTTGATCAGAACAATGCCTCTAACCAATGTATTTGCATTCAATTTTTGAGTGTAAATTGGTTTAGAGACCTGTAATCAAGTACAAAGCTAGTTTGATCAGATTTTGCAAGTGGTATGAACATGTATTGGGCATGGTTACAAAGTGAGTTTTTGCCAACTTCAAACATTCGATTCTCCCTAACCACAAAGGTGTTTGAGGAGTTCTTGAACAATTTGAAAAGCTTGCAACATGTACTATAATCCATCTCTGAAATGCAACTTAAGACTCCAAGTGGAACTATGTGAAAAATGGCCAAGAAGATGGGTCAAAATCCTGCCTAAATTAGGGCGAAATTTCTCTAAGTTAAAAGTTTTAGGTACCCTTGTTCCAAAAATCATAACTTGAGATCCAAGCTTATTTTGAGAAAACTTTGTGAATCAAAGTTGTAACCTTTGTGATGGAATACAACTTTCATGTTGTAAGTTTTGTTTGAATCCAATTGCATCTTGGTGAAAATGTGGGACAAAGTTAGGAAAAATTAAGAAAATTTCATAACTTAGAAAATTTCTAAGTTATGAAAATTTTCAATTTCAAACCCTAATTTGCAATTTTGGGTTTCTTGATGAACAAGTTTCATAATTTGACATATATTGATGAAAAATGACCCTTGGCACTTGATTTTGACCAAAAAGTCAAAGTTTGACTTTTCAGTGTACAGACAAATTTTGATCAGTTGACTGAAAAATTCATCTGTCAATCCTATGCATTTGAGATCTTTTGAACTTGTTGAATAAGTCAAGATGATTCCATTGAGTCCTTGAGTCCATGGTTGAGCTTGGTTTTCCATTGGCTAGGTCAAACAGTCAAAAATTGTCTTTGTACAGTCAAAACCCTAAAAATGACCATTTTACCCTTTTGGTGATCTGATCAAATTTCTTATGGAATTGTGATCCAAACTTGATCACATGGTTCATATGAGTTCATAATGTTGATGTGGGTCAAAATTCATGAGGTTTGACTGCAAATTGGCCACAATTGACTTTTTCCCCAATACAGTTGATTTCTAGGTCAACTATCCAATTGACTGGGCAAAAATTTGATTCAAGGCTTGAAACTTGGTATGGGCAAACTTATGAGTCCAACATGAAGTATGAAAGTCAATTTGGGCATTGTAGGTCAAAATATCCTTGTGCAAACTCAAACCCTAATTTAGGTCAACAGTGCAAGAAGGTGTTTTGAGCAGAGCAAACCCTAGCTTGGTCTTGAGTTCCAAGAGTCTTGTGATGAGAAAATGTTGATAAAATGAGAGGGAAAATTTTGGGGTACAACAAACATCAATTTAGAATTTTTAGAATTTTCAAGTTGTGTCATCAATTTTCAAGTTGTTGTATATATCATCATTTATATATATGTAGATTTTTTGTATATGCAAAATTTGATGCATATATATTGGATTGAAGCTACCAAATCTGGTGCAAAATATGGTGAAAACTTGGTGCAAAATATGGTGAAAACCTGGTGCAAAAAATGGAGAAAATATTTGACAACGCTTAAGGAGAAAATATGTCTAAAATTTAAAAAAAAAATTGTTAACATTAGACAACGCTTAAGGAGAAAAGCGTTGTCTAAAGTAGGGAGAAAGCGCTGCCTAAGATGGGGAACAGGAAACGCTTTTCAGAAGCGATGTCTAAAGTAGGGAGAAAGTGCTACCTAAAATGGAAAAGCGCTGCCTAAGATGGGGAAAAGACAACACTTTTAAAGAAAAGCGTTGTCTAAAGAGATGCAAAAAGTGCTGTCTAAAGTGCTGTCTAAAGTGCTGTCTAAAATGAGAAAGCGCTGCTAAAGGTGTACTTATCAAAGCGCTCTCTAAAGTAAAAGCATTGCAAAAGGTGTTCATAAGAAAGCGCTCTTAAAGTAAAAGCGCTGCTAAAGGAGACATATAACAACGATTTTACATTAATCCAAAGTGCTGCCTTTTCTTATAGCAGCGCTAGTTTAAAAGCACTATTTATGCGCTTGTTTGGCATAGTGTCATGTTCTTTATCTTCTGAAGTTTTCTTAATATTTTCCTTTCCCTCCTTTCGGATAAATAGAGTTTGATGGTGATTCTGTTGTTTTATTTTTTACGGTGCGACAGTGGTCACTCTGATTTTTTTAAAACTTATAAAAAATTTCAATTTTGGTAATATTGGGAGGGAATGAAAAAAAACATTCAGTACTTTGTGTAATTTTGAGACGTGTGCCCCAACAAAATAAATATTAAACTTTGTCCCTAACATGTTTACTATTGCCCTTGTTGATCCCCCAACAAGTATGTGTTTATACACTAGTGCAGAAATGACTTTTTACATCGGGTGAAACTGACTTTTTACATCGGTTCTGGGTCCGATGTAAAGTCAGGCGATATAGTAAATCAGGTACTTTTTACATCGGTTATGGGTCCGATGTAAAAAGTCCCTTTTTACATCGGTTATAATATAAGAATGATGTAAGAAAAGTTATGACATTATTTTAAAAAATGTGATCCAATTTTTTACATCGGTTGGAAGTAATAACCAATGTAAAAAGTCCCTTTTTTACATCGGTTATAATATAAGAATGATGTAAGAAACAATTATGACATTATTTTAAAAAAATTGATCCAATTTTTTACATCGGTTGGATGTAATAACTAATGTAAAAAGTTATTCAGGAAAGTTATTCCATCTGGTGTAACACTAACTGTTACCATATGGTCAAAGTAGTATCGAGCTCTGCCATAGAGACCATGCTGTGAAAATGCAGCAATGATTGTGTTCCATGAAACAATATTCGGATGAGAAATTTGCCTAAAGGCTAACTCTGAGTTGACAATTTCACCATATTTATTGTACATAGTAACCAACGAATTGCTCACAGACAAATCTGAATCAAAGCCATGCTTAATTACAAGAGCATTCGCTTGTCTTCCTTCGTCAAGTAATGCAAGACTAGCACAGGCAGTAAAAAGTGGAACAAAAGTCAAGTCATCAGGTTGCATACCAGTCCTGACCATTTGTGAAAATAAATTTAGTGCCTCCTCCCCTCTCCCATTCTGGGCGAAACCTACAAACCATGAATCAATTATGAAAATATGAGAAAAGAACAATGACATGCCATATTCCTAGGTTTGTAACAAGTTCGTGTTTTTCTCCACAAGGATGGTTAGGATGGCCCCAACAACTGCTAATAATCTAAACATAAATGCGTATACTCTAACAACTACGTATGTGATACGTGGAAGAATGAGCTAATTATGCAACAATGGCCAGGGGTAAGACACTGCAATAGACATTTGAAGGTAGCTATGCAGGGGTGCGAAAAATCACTTTTCTAAAGCTAAAGATCGTTTTAGTAGTTTCAACTATGTTTGTTAAACTTTCAAAATTCATCAATAGATTGTCATCACTAACAATGAAAAAATATCAAATTTCCATTCACCAAATAACATGCACAAAGATGATATACTCATTTAAGGTATAGCTGAAATCTACATGACATTGAAAACAAACCAACTTATACTTTAACACCAATCTCCAAATCAAGAAATCAATTCAACCAGAGTTTTAAACGACTGCGAAAATGGCCGCAACAAAACAGTACCAATACTGTTACTCACCGTTTTTATGTTAAAGAACAAGTTGTGGTTAATACACACCACGACGACCACAATTAGTATCACGACATCTGTACCGACTGAAATTGCGAAAACTTTTACGCAACTGTGACCCTTTTTTAAAACCTTAAATTCAATAACTCACATATTATGATGAGTGAAAAACAAAATCAAAGTACTAAAAAAGACCAACCTTTTGAATAAAGGGAAGAAGTCCTGAAACAGTGGCATGAATGTAATATCTAAGCTGAGGATGACAAGCCCTTTGAACTACCACATTCATATACCTTCTCCTCTCAAAAGCACCTTCACCATAGCCAAAATAATTAAAATCAATAGTTAAAAGAAAGCTCGGACACCCTGAACACGACCCGACACTGACACGGTGATACTGGTGACAATTTTAAAAAATAAATAAATTAAATGTAATTATAAGTGTTATCGCAGATGTCTAACATTACACAGACAACATGTTTTTTTAAGAGGTGTCAATGCTCTTATAACTATATATATATAATCAAATTGCAACGTGCAACTAAAAAATCATTGCTTTTTCTTTTTGCAAGCAACCAAACAAACCTGGAGGATAAACCCCTTTGAGAAAAACAACACAAGTAATAGCAACTTCCAAAAATTCAATCAAAACCCTAGCTATTTGGCCTGCAATTTTTCAAGAAGAATCACTGTTAGAAGAAAAATACAAGAATCAAAATCAAAGCTTTTCTTGTTAAAATAAATAAATCCAAACAATGGTTCTGTTCCATCCCTTCAATGAGCTTATTTCTAAACAATCCACCTCTAATTTAAATGAATTGTGATGGCCATGAACTAAAACTTAAGGATCAACATCTCACTTATTTTAGTTTAGCTTTTTCCCTCATCAATTTACTATTAGGCACACACATCAACTTTGGACTCAAGTTTAAAGCACTGGATGCATGAATAAATGAATAAGAATGAAAATTATAAACATTGGGTTATCGGTTATCATTATATTCCAAGAAGCTCGATCCTTGTACGGAATCTGTTGAAACAAGTTCCAAGCCTCTTCAATCTTCCCTTGTTTACAAAACCCAATAATCATAGAAGTACTAGCAACAACATTTTTCTTACGCATTCTATCAAACAATTCCCACGCTTCCTCATACAACCCATTCCCAACAAGACCACTAATCATCATCGTCCAAGAAACCTCATTCCTATTTGGCATCGCATCAAACAGCGCCATCGCACGCCTAATCCCACCTTCCTTCTTGGCATACCCATCAATCATCACAGTATAAGAAACAACATTCGGACGCGGCATTTCTTCAAACAGCTTTTGTGCTTCCTCCACGCGTCCCATTCTCACAAAATCTGACATCATAGCATTGTACGACGCAGTGTTTTTCTCTGGCATTACGGTGAAGTAGCTAAACGCGTCGTTGAGGTTATCGTTTTGAACGCATGCGGTTATGATGGAGTTCCATGAAACGACGTTTTTGATTAGCATGGAATGGAAGAGTGATTCAGAATGTTGTAGAAAGTCGTTTTGCCAGTAGGCGGTGAGCATGGAGTTCCATGTGACGGTGTCTTTTGGGGAGGTTTTGTCGAACAATTGGCGTGAAGCGTTGATGTTGCCGGCGCGTGACAGGGCTGCGATGTTGAGATTGACGTAATATACATCTTGCTGAGTTGAGAAAAGTTGTCTAGCGAGGAGGAGGAAGGAAGAATGATGGCGCGCGGTGGAGAATGAAAGTGGGCTAGTGTGCATGGAGTATACTACGGGGTCTGTCTGGGCAAGTGGCAAAGCATAAATCCGTTGTTGTCTACAACACAATTGCACAAGGGGTGGATTGTTTTATGATTTTTCACATCGGTGGAAACAACGGACCGATGTAAGGATTTGGGCCTTTGCAGTTTTTACATCGGGTTTAACATTGGCCCGATGCAAGCCTGTGAACCTTTTACATCGGTTTTTAGTGACCCCGGTGTAATATCTTGCTTGTTTTTTATTTACAATTTTGCCACCTTGTTTCTTATTTACAAAAATGCCACCGTATTTTTTTCTGAAAACCTTTTACATCGGTGGATGACATTGCCCGATGTAATAGATAGCGAAAAATATTTTTTTTTCTTATCATTTATATCATTGCAAATAAATACCTGATGTAAAATGTTTTTAATGGTATTTTTTACATCATATATTTTGATACCTGATGTAAAAACCTTTTCTGAAATGTCATTTTTTTAGTAGTGATATCTCCATTGATTCTATTGAGGGTCTCTCAAAGAGCTATGGAAAAGATGTTATACTAGTGGTGGTTGATCGCTAGACTAAATATGTCCATTTCATTGCCCTTGCACATCCTTTTACTGTAAAAAATTGTGGCTGAATTGTTCCTCCAAGAGATTGTAATTTTACACGGGTTCTTGACAACAATAGTATGTGATTGAGACAAGGTCTTCCTCAGTAATTTCTGGACTGAAATTTTCCAGTTGGCTGGTACTAAATTGAAATTTTCCTAGGTGTGTGGAGACATATCTACACTGTCCCACAGGTACTATACTGAGGATATGGTCCAAATGACTTGGGTGGGCAGAACTCTGATTCAACTCCAACTATAATGGCTCAACTAAAATGTAGAAGGCTCAGAATCAGATGCAACAACAAGCGAATAAGCGACATTGCAGCATCTCTGTTGTTGGTGGTGATTTGATTTACTTAAAGTTATAACCATACATATTCTACTAGATCCTATCACCCTTCTACTATTCTTTCTCATAAACTACTGATCTACCACTCCCTCTAGCTGCTTTGAAAAAATTTACAAGGTTAAACTGCTCTTTCTGAGTTTGTTTCAGATGTTTGTATATAATATATTTTTTGCCCTAAAAAGATAACATATAATATATTACATGCATTGAATTAATTCATGGTGTAGTTTTAGAAAGATATAAGTTGTAAATGCACAAAGAAAAATAAAGTTACCAATGAGCAGATGTTTCAAGGGTTGAGTGCTATTCTGGCCAAGTTTTTTATGAATTCATCCAAGTAACTGCGTCAAATTAAAGAAAAACTTACAAGATTGATTATATACGTGGAGTTGAAACAGTAGGCATTAATAAGATATTGAAATTAACAATCAACCAGTCTTAATTACCTTCATTCTTTGGAAGTGTTATGCGTACTTATGCTTGAGAATGGTTTGGGATGAAAAGCTATATAAGAGTAATTTGTTAAGAGCAATGACATTCTAGAAATGTGTATACAGAGTCGGCCCAACGTATTTTGAGACCTAAGGCGAAATTAATTTACTAAATTTTAAAAATACACACATGCAAAATCAAACCTAGGATACATCACTTGCTTGAACGCCTTACTAACCCCTCGACTATTACATTCCTATGTATAATATTTGAAACTTACATATCTTATTTTAATTTAGAGGCCTCTTTATTCAGCATTTGAGGCCTATTTTAAAAGCACGAGAACATGAGGCCTAAGGCGACGACCTCACTCGCCTTGGGCTTGGGTCGGCCCTGTGTGTATACATAGATAAAAACAAAACAGATAGATAGCTACAAAGCATTGTCAACATCCAAATATACCTATTCCATCATTTGATTAATATGATCAATGTCTCTCCCAATCCCATCCCAGGTGTACCATCGCCATATTCTAATGCATTAAAAGAATGTAAGACTTATAACATTTTCTTAAACTACTTTTATAACTAAGATTATGTAATTTAGATTTCAAACAAACTTTGAGTCTTTTAGAAACTTAATACCAAAACAATAAGATTTTGTTAAAGAAAAGTAAAATTGTTTAATGAGAAGAGCATGTACTAAAGCGACCACAAAAAATATGACTAGATTTTTGTAAAGACTGATCGAAGAATATGAGATTAACAAAAATTCTTAAATAGTAGGGTCGGACTTTTTATTACAAAATGTTGAGTTTAAAGTGTGATAGTGCTAAAAATCCATGATCAATTAGGAATAGAAAAAATGTTAGTAGATTTATAAGAGAGGTTTTGAGTGAATATATAGCGTCAATGTCTCTTGAACTCCGAACATTTAACTTACTAATACTTCTGAATTCATTAGAGAGCATTTTGCATTTTTAAACATTATTAATCATAATTTTTAAATTTATATACTTAAATTGTAGTTAATGATAGATTCTAGAATTTTTTTTTGAAATAACCAGGTATTAAAAAAAATCGCAAACAACCATGTTTCGGAAAAAAATTATGTAAATAACCATATTTCAGAAAATCCCACAAGAGAGGAGCCAACCCAGTTGGCACATCCACTCCCTATTTTGCCCTAGGCGCCATCCCACTTGACGCCTCCTCTCTCTTTTAGCCAAGTGAGATGGCACATGCACTTTAAAAGTGAGAGGAGGCGCCATATCACTTGGCTCCTAGGGCAAAATGCTATTTTTATAAATAATTTGTCTGTTTCTCCGTCATTCCTCACACTTTCTCGCATTGTTCTCTTATTTCTTACTCTGTTATTTGCGTCATGACATCGCCCATGATTTTTACCAGAGATGGTTATGTTATTTTCTCTGCCACAAAACCTCTGATGAAAATGAAATTTTGGCACATTCACTCCATGGAGCGTCTGAATAGGGAGTTGATGCGATGGCTAGAGGGAGACATCAAGGAGGGGGAACAAATTAGAATGATCCAGCAAATACGAACAAGAACCTCACTTGCAACAGGAAGGCCTAATTTTTGGTTGGAGGAAGTCAAAACAGACAGCGACGTAAAGTTGATGATGCATGGGTCAGATGAAATTATTTTAACGGTTGTAATTTCGTAGACGGTTTATCGTGTTTTATTTCTTGTTTGCGCAATGTTTATTGTAACAAATATTGTTAACGAAAAACCCTAATGTTTACAACTTAATAAAGGAAAGATTTTTTGTAATGCAATTTTTATGTGGTTGAGCTAGTAGCCCGATTCGAACAATTTTTGCGATTGTGTCCGACCTGGCGACATAAACCACAATTTCTTTCCAGCTTGTCAAGGGAGTCCATTTCGGTTGTGATGCGCTTACTTTTGGGACGACCCTTTTTATTCCTTCGCATTTGGTCATTGTGCCATACTATTTCGCTGTCGTATGCAGGCCAATAATCTGGTTTTGCTACCAAAGGGAAGTTGTTGTTGTATACGTTGAGCAAGGTTTCAGATTTGTAAATGGGAGACAGAAGTTTTAGCGCGTCTTGATGAGTATAGACACACGCGATAATGACATGAGAGCAAGGCATACGAAAGGCTTGAAACTTTCCATAATCGCACCAACGAGAAGGTAGTATAACCCTATACTCTTGTCTTGGCAGGCCCTCGTTGTGGTCGATTGTCTCTTTGACAATGAATTTGTGGTTGTGTCGGTCAAACCGTATAACCAGATGGGTGTTGGCTTTGGCACTTTCTGCCTTAATGTACTTCATGCAGCTTTCACTCCATAATTGTCCAAATTGCAACACAGCATTCCATATTTCACATTTATTGGCAAACAACGAAGTCATCCTAAAATATGTTGATTTAACCAAAGCAGTAACTGAGAGGTTTCGTATGCCTTTGAATACCCAATTCATCGACTCAATTAGATTTTTTGTTATGTGGCCCCATCTTTGTCCATTATCGTATGACCTAGTCCATTTTTCTACCGGAATATTATCGATCCACCTATCGGCTTCCGGATTTGACAAACAGATCTCGTTGCGATAATATTTGAACGTAGGTTGTGTCAATGCATATCCTGCATTCATAACCTCTTTCCTAAGAGCTTTGTCTTTGATCTCCCTCGTGAAATTTTGGACGATATGTCTAATGCAATAGACATGCGTAGAAGGAGGTTCATGCCAACCGTTTACGGGATTGTTGTATGCACTTTCAATGGATGCATGTCTATCAGAGATCAAACAGAGATCTGGTTGAGGAGCCACGTGTGTTCGGAGATTCTTGAGAAAAAAGCTCCAAGCACCACCAGTCTCCCCCTCGACTAGGGCAAAGGCAATTGGGAAAATGTTGTTGTTGCCATCTTGTGCAACTGCCATCAGTAGTGTGCCTTTGTATTTCCCATACAACCAAGTCCCATCAATTTGTATAATTGGTTTGCATGACGGAAACCCTGTGATGCAAGGTTGAAAAGCCCAAAACACTCGACTGAATATTCCATTTCTGTTGAGTTGAATACCATCAGGGGCGTATGGTGGCACTGTTTCCAGAATGTGAACAGTACTTGGAGAATAAGTCTGGAGTGCATTCAGGTAGCGAGGAAGTTCTTGGTATGACTCCTCCCAGTTTCCATATACATTTTCAATCGCCTTGGTCTTTTCTAACCATGCCTTTCGATAAGACGGAGTATAGTTAAATACCGTAGTTGTTGTACCCCAAAATTTGCCCTCTCATATTTCCCAAAGTCTTCCCCCTACATGGTTGATCACAAACTCTTGCATGAGAAAAAGGAAATTTTTTGAGTGTTGCTTTAAGGACATTTCGATTTGCATTCTGAAAGACCCTTTGATTGGTGTTCTGAAAGAGCCTTTAGATTGGCATTCTGGACAAGCGCTTCGATTTGCATTCTGAAAGATCCTTCGATTGGTGTTCTGAAGGAGCCTTTCGATTGGCATTCTGGACAAGCCTTTCGATTAGGCATTCTGTCAAGCTCTTTCGATTGGCATTCTGGACAAGCATTTCGATTCTGAAAGATCCTTCGATTGGTGTTCTGAAGGAGCCTTTCGATTGGCATTCT